CTTTCCTTTTTCCCTCCCTCCCTCCCTCCCTCCCTCCCTTCCTTTGCCTTTGAGTCAGTCTTGACAAGTCCCTGCAATTTACTTGGCAAGATTTCAGAAGTGGTTTGCCATTGCCTCCTTCCTAGGGCTGAGAGAAAGTGACTCACCCAGCCAGCTTTCATGCCCAAGGTGGGATTAGAACTCACAGTCTCCCAGTTTCTAGCCTGGTGCCCACTACATCAGACTGGGTCTCTAAAAAGGGCAAGAGGACTTTCTACTGGTGATAGGTACTGGAGGCCATATTATTTCATTTATTTATTTACAGTGCCCCATTAAACATTATTATGTAGTGTGTTAATGACTCTAGGATATGGTTTGGAAGTGACAACCCTGAAGCCTAATGTGCTCTGAAAATGGAACTCAGTAGCATGGGATCAGGACCAAAGTAATTGTTGCATTATTAAAATCAAATAAAAAAGCTGATTACTTAGCCAAGAAAAATGGAACTTCTTTAATGTTTCTAGCTTAATTAAGGGCAGATTAGAATTCAACCTGGGGGAAAATATATATTTGCATTCAGACACAGAGGCACAGGTCAAATGCAAATTATCTAGCAATCTGAGAAAGAATGAAGAAAAGTGCTTCTGTTTGAGTGCCTGGAGAATATTTATTGTTGGCCTTGTTAGTCATATTTTTAAACTAATGCATAATCATGAAGACAATGGAAATCTGCTTTGTTTAAAATTTTAGCATGCTATTTAGTAAATATGGTTTAGAATCTCCCACTAATAAAAGAGGTCAAACACATTAAAAATTACCTAAGCAGTAGGGATTTAAAAGACATCTAGAGGCAATATGAATATTAAGCAGACACTGGCAAAATGAAATGAAAATACAAGGTTAAAACTGAAATGTTATTTATCTAGTGTAAGCCCAGTTTACTCTGGTTGAATGCCTTCTGAGTGGACATAAATGTGATTATTCTGTAACAACGTTGGGGTTTAATCAACTTACGTTTACATGCCTAGGCTGGAAAGCTCCCAAAGACATCTCTAAAGAGGTTCTTCAGAGAAATCTCCTAACTGGGAAGTTGTCTAGCTTTAAAATAATAATACAGTGTAAATTTGATTACACAGTGACAACTGGCTGAATAACAGGAGGGAAAAAAGCAAAGCAAATGAAAATATCTTGTGGCTCTCCATATACAACTGAAGTAAATTCCCACCTTTTCTCATCATTGGCTTCACTGATTGGACCTGTAGCTTACATAGGAAAACAAATAAACAGAAATCCGTTATAGTTTATTTGCAATCAGAGGCATTCTGTGGATTAGAAGTTTTTGCCAATGATGAAAGCAGTGATGCATCCTCATGTCCCAAGCTCCACCCCTTTTGTACATGTATGCAATGTTATAACACATGTTGAAAAAGGATAGAGCTTGTGATGTGACAGTATGATGTTGCTTTCAATATTTCCCCTCAACCCTCCTGCACGTGCCTCTAATTGCAATTATCCATGGGAAAAAAAAACAAAACTGTTGAGACAAATTACTTTTAACAATGCTTCATCACCATGTTCAACATTAAGTATGAATTAGGCCTTGTTAAAATAAATGATTCATATTAATGAGAATTTTAACTAAGACAGGACTGGGAATCAAGTCAGCTTCTCTAGATCCTATATAGTAGTTAGCAAATATGAACAGCCCACTTTGGATGTTGATTCAATGAAGGCCCAATTTGCTTCATTTAAATTATACTCGGAGGAACTCTTCATACAGGCTACAATTCACAGGGCTCTCTGACCAAAGATAATTGGATGGGAATACAGAAAGAGAAGGGAAGGATCATTGCAGATATTTTTCCCATGTTATTTGAATCATAAAACAAAAATTCAGAGTAACTGGGCCTGGACTGTGCCATATAAATTGCAGAAATCTTTGAATTATCCATTCAAAGAAATGATTAATCTACATTGACAACAATGTATGAACAAGAGAAAAGTAGTAATTTTGCATTGCCTAAAGTATATCATTATCTTGTTTTAAGACTTTTTTTTTTTACTTCCCAGCAACTCCATAATATCTGCAAAACTGAGCCTTGAATGCACGACAAATCCTACATTCACCTGGAAATTATTTCAGACTGTATACCAGACTTATTGTATATGTGAATATGAGATATATGCTAATATGGACCTTTTTGTTGTTGTTGTTGTTGTTTGTTTTTCTAATTTTTTTCCATCATTTTCATTCCAGAATGATTTTGGCTGTAATAGAGATCTAAATGTGTTTCTTTGTTGAGAGTTGTGAAACATTAGCACCAATCTATTCCAGAAAAAACTGGAATATTGTTCATGAAACCTGGAGAGAAGAAAATGTCAGTTATAACCTTCTTGTTATGTCTTCATAATTTTCCTATGATTACAAATTATTATAGAGTACATTGCAACATTTCCCTGATACAAGTTTTCATGAATAGTTTCCATGAAACTATTCCATGAGAACCCATCCCATAAATTACCTTCCTTCTTTTCCCTGTTTCCAAGGATTACTTCAGTTTATTTTATTT